TTACCCTAAATTTAAAGAAATGCTAATCAAACTGAAAAAAAAAAAAAAAAAAAAAAACACCTTGGTTATTTGAATATGTGGGTCAAAAGATGTGGTTCAATTTTTTAATTGGCTTTATTATTATTACTATTTATTTTTATTTTTGTAGTATTTTTAACGTAGGTAACCCAACATCAATTGAGAGAAAGGGCTCTGTGTATTATCAAGATTTTTTGAAAAAAAATAAAAAATATTTTTGAGATTTTCTTTTCACAAATTGCCCACTATAAGACCAAACCCTTCATCTTTCTTTTGAGGGAGGAAAGGTTATACTATTGAGTTAAACGGCCCATTGGTTACCAAGATTTAACTCTTCGGGTACAAAATTCATCACATATTTAAGACTTTATTGATGTAGGATACAAATATATTAGACTGGTCTAGGCCCACATTAGGCCCGCCTAGCTAGCCCATTAAACAATTTTGTGAAGCCCAAAAGTTGTGAATATGAAGGAAATTAATGAGGCAATAGATGATGGATTCATCAAATGCACAACCAAGTGGACATGTATCAACTGTTAACTTTTATTAAAAAAAAAAAAAATTCTCAGCCGTGCATCAGAAAATTTTCAAAAATTAGGTCCCATCATCACATCATGCAAAGGTAGGGTCCACGGGGAAGTGGGATCATGGTCAATCAACACCATTGAATAATGGACCTTCTGCATGAATGAAGCTCAAAGACCATCCAACGGTGGAAAAATTAACTTACCTACAGCACACCATTGAGGCTCCCCACCAAGGTTGGATGCAGCAGAACTTTGCCCAAATCTGCATCAATTTAAACCCAAGTAAAAGGTCCGAGTGTGGAAGTCCTAACAGAAAAAAATTGTTAAGCGGTGATCTAATCGGATCATATTGTCCCAATTATCTAATAATTTTTCATAATAAGAATATATTAACCTATAAATCTTGTTACAAATTACAATAAAAAGAAATAATAATAAATATCTTCCACAACATGCATTAAGTCCCAACATTACGAAATTTTTTAGAATATTTCGGAGTACAGTATTTTCAGGAATTCCAGTCATTAGATGTGGTAATAAAATTCACCTGATAGACAATCTAACGTCTAGAGACCTTGGGGATACCGTCACTACCTACCATGCATGCAATCTTCATTATGATCAATACAACCATAACATGCAAACCCTAAAATTACATGCATACAATATATACATCCATATCATGCAAACCTTGTTATTAAATTACATGCATACAATCTTCAAAATTATACAAACCCTTCATTTCGATCAATACATACATAACAAACAAATCCCAAAAAATACATGCATGCAATCTTTCAGAAGACCTTGTGCTGTGGCAGATCGAAGCCCTAGATGTGTTGATCTTCTCCAATTAGCTAAGTCTTGGGATGATTCTTAATTTTGATCACGTATTCCCATGATTCGCTACAGTAGGGCTCGACTTGAGGTTTGTACAGAGATTATTCAATTTTCAGATTCTGATGTTTAATTTATACCTGAATTTCACTATTCTGAAGAGTTTTGATTTGTTTCCGGCTAAATTTTCTTCTCGTCTTCAATTTTCCCTGACATTTCACTTTGTCTGAATCTGTGTCTCTCAGAATGATATGCATTTCTTTTGATTTTATTGTACACACATATTTTAGATGTCAAATTTCAAGATATAGTAGTATAAGATTAGAATTGCAGTGTCTTCATATGTCAATGTTTAAGCTCTTATCAGGGGATGGGGATACCTGGTGGGAAATTATCTTTGTATACAGCACTTGGACGACTAATTTTTCTTCATGAGTTCATGACTGTTGTGAAGCAGAACTATTGTGAAAAAATCATACTTTTGTTTCTATAATGATTTGTGATTAGAAATTTAGGGTGAAAAAATTTAGTGCTATTTATTTTTTAAATTAAAAATATACTTTTGGCACAAAAGTTTGTTTGGGGCGAAAAATTATACCTTTTGATGAAAAATTGAGACTCTTTTGACACAACAATTTTTTTTGTGCCAAAAGAAATAGTTTTTCGTCATAATTCTTTTTTTTTTTTGTGCCCAATATAATTTTGCCACTAAACCTATAAAATAAAATAAAATAATAATAAAAAAACAATTTATTGTCAATCACAAATTTTAAATAATTTTGTAGATAGGTATACTGTTCCGGGAGATTGAATAATTATGGTTTGACTTGGAAGTTGGAATTGGCCTATCTGATGTAAAGATGGAAAATGACATCTCGTTTAGTCCATTAAAGAACATTAGTATTGATGAATATCATAAGAAATTACTTTCAAAGTATTATCGTAGGAGTTGAGGAATTCAATCCAACACATGTTTCAAAAACATATTCTAATCGGGTGTTTTCCAATAATATTATAATAAATTGCAGTTGTGCTCCTTATATGTACAATACAATTCTCATTTTGTTTGTCAATTCAACTTATTTAGTATATAATCTTGATTTTCTTAGAAGTTATAAACCTAAGTATCATCATGCTTAATAATAACATCGCAACGCGCGTGTGCGTGTGCGTGTGCGTGTGTGTGAACAAATACCATTCATAATATTTTTGATAAAACTTGAATCTCCAAACAATACCTGCTCTTTAAATCGGCAATATTAGACAAACGCTATGATAATTCTTTAAATCGACAATATTAGACAAATACTATGATATTTTAAAGTGAAAAGAAAAGGGTTTAAGTTTTTTCAAAAGTACTGTGAGTATTATTTATTCAGATATATATATATATATATATATATATGCATTGACTTGCAAGGTTGCCCCTGTTATGAAATCATTTTATAGCATCTGCAATTGGCACTTTTTAAAATCAAGTACACTCGTTCTATGAATTTGACCTTAATGAGCTAATGCAATTCAGAGAATGAAAAATTCTAGTTTTGATAATAATAGGCAATAGATAAATAAAAAGTGGGACTAAAATATCTGCATTGAAAAAGTGCTGAACCATCAATAAGAGACATAGGGTTATGTAAATAGTGACTTTTATGTGGTTTAATAGTGTTTCCAAAGTCAAGTAAAAGGAATATTCATATCCACATGTAATGACACCGAGAAGTGGTTAAGAGGACATAATAATGCAATGCCCCAAAGTTCAAAGTTCAAACATTTGAAGGGATACAAAATGACAGGATAGGGTTGGTGTCCAAACCCTAATTATTTAAGGGAGTCCTCAATTAAGAACACCAGCTACACCTACCCCAAACCCTAGGTTTGAATTGTCCAATCCCTAATTATTTCTCCTTGTTGAGGGCAAAGGGAATAAAATTGAATGAGTACTATCAGCCAACACACATGGGCCAAGCCCTTGTTTGGCCACTAATATAATAATATATACCCATGGAAGTGTTCAGTCTCTGCCCGTTATGGCAAAATCGCTTGAGTCTAAATGGCAAAATATAAAGTCAAACATGCATATGGTTGAATGGAAAGTTTAGCTTTGTATATTTACATAATTGAACCATTTTTAAGATATTTAGAGAAAGAGGTCTTAGAGAGTAAATGACTATTGCAAGAAGAGGTCTCAACATAAGATTAGTTGTACTCGTTTCTGATCAGTTTTTATTAGATTGACAATTATCGAACTAAATATTTTAAAAGGGGAGAAAAACTATTTTTATCTTATTTTGTCAAGAATTCAGCACCGACGGTTGTTTGTAGCATAACTCTTTTGAAAAAAAATTACTTAATTTTTCATCTGTATGAAAATATATGAAATTAAACTTGTAGTGAATAATTAACAAAAGTAGAATAGATAGCTTTTCTACAAAGAAATTTCCTAACAAAACTATTATAGATATTTTTGAATTTTTTTTTTTTTTTGAAATTATTTTTAAAATTATCTTTGTTATCTATCACTTTTTGAGGAATACAGGATGAAGAATGAGCTAGCAGACAACTAATAACATCTACAACAGATAATAGGGAGGTCATGCATGTGTTCTAATTTTTTTGTTTAAAAAAATGTGTACAGAAATTCCCATAAAACTCCAAACTTGCTATTTGGAAACTAGCTATATGTCAACCCAGCTATCTCGTGACATATTATCTTTATAATTCTTGAAGAAAACTCAATTTTAAAGGGGAGGGCACTTAATGACAAAACGAAAACTAAATTGAAAATTATGTTAATACAATTGAAATCCGAATTTATAGAGAAAAACTGAAATATTATTGCTATTTTTGTAAATTTTCTCAGCAATAAAAGAATTTTAAAAGAAGTTCATGTCAATTTGACGCTACCTTAAAAAATAAGGATAGGGATAGTGACTAAAACATTATGGTCATTGGTTGCAAATTAAAAAATCAAAATAATTGGAGTATATTCATAGAATTCAACCTCCAACAAAAATGTAACAACTCTACAATTCAAAATGTCAATCGATCGAATAGATTAGCCTTCTAACCCCCAATGATTCACATAGGACACCAAATCAAATGAATATAAATATAAAATAAGAAGCGTTCTTAACTTTTCTTGTATTGAACTTTTCATTAATACAAGAGATGGCAACAAAACAATTTCTCATAATTTCATTCCCGAAGCTTAGCAATTTGTTAGAGGTTATGTTTGCTGACATAATTTAAACTTTACTCGATTTATAGCATTTTACACAAATTCTGTAAATTAATCGAGACAAGATCACACACTCGATTTTTGATTGAAAAAAAAAAAAACCTTTGCATGTGAGGGGGAACAAGTCTAAAATGTAGTACTTGGTAACCTTTTTTTTTTCTTTTTTTTTTTTCTCCTTATATTTTCTTAACTAGCTTAAATATAATTTACATTACATTTATCAATCTATCATTAGAGCCAAAGGATCAAAGATCAAACCCAACTAAAGCACCTATGTTTTCATCATCTAACAAAACTAAAGATCCATCTAGCCCTTAAAGTTAATACTGGTTAATTCTTTGATTCCTTATGGTTTAATGTCAGCATACACCAAACTAAAGGCATGCATGAGAACTTCCAACTCCAACTTCACTTAACATCTCTTCATGAGGCCAAATGCCATCGATCAGATCATAGGAAAATCCGGTGCCGAAATCCATTGAAAACCCATCATTTTCCTCACAACCATTTGCAGACCGCGACGCGAAATTGTGATCATCCGTACGAAATGAAGAAGAATTCAAAACGCTTGAAGCTTCTTCTTGCGACGACGAAATGCTGTACGTAGCACTCTCCTTTGCACTTGCATTAAATTGGGAGAATTTGGTGAGTTCTGGCAGCAAGAAGTGATCAATTGGGTCATGATCAATGCTTTGAGTATAGGCTGGTATTATTGGAGAAATCTGAGTTAACATGGATGAAAAACTTGGACTGTGTGCTTCGATTTTCGGGTTTTTATGAAGAGTGGTAGGATTGTTGTTCATGTTGTTGGTTGTTAGGTTGATTTTGGTAGCCAACAGTTTCTTCTTCAATTTGGTGTTCCAATGATTCTTCACATCATTGTCTGTCCTTCCTGGTAGTTGAGAAGCTATGACAGACCACCTGATCAAAACCACTAATGTGAAGTCAGTTAGTTAAGAATACTTTTTTCACTATAAAATAGTATAAAACTATAATACTAAAACAAATATGTAAGTGTGATGTTTATGTGTATGTATATATACATATATGATATATATATATATATATCAACTTGCCTGCTGCCTAATTTATTGTAGAGGTCACAAATAATGTTGTTTTCCTCTTCTGTAAAATCTCCATGTTTGATGTCGGGTCGAAGGTAATTGAGCCATCTCAAGCGACAACTTTTCCCACAACGGTTAAGGCCTGTGACCAAAAGAGGCCAGGACTTAAGGTGAGAGTGAACACAATAAATAAAGTAATTATTAAGCATATGGTATTGTTTATACAAAGAAACATGTCAAATTTTTTTTTTTTAACGAAAAAAAAAAATTTATCTCTGAACTAATGAATATAGAAAAATAATTAAACTGTGAAATGAGAATATTGCTTATGGTGGAATTATGGTTTGTTGTCACGGTGTAACAAATTTGGTTGAATATCACTATAAATTGGTCAAATCGGTCGGTTCATAAAGTGGTGTAATGATATCGAATTCTTAAAAGAAAGATTATGAATGGACACGTTACATTGGGTGGAATAGAATCAATAATCCATAAAACTAAAATTCGGTCTAAAACTTTTGTTTTAATGCATAATTCAACTTTGAACCATTAATAAACCAGATTGGAATTAACATTTACAACCAAGAACAGCTGGTCCCTAGCTAAGTAGATAATTAAATCATAGTGCAATATATAATACACAGAACTGAAGGTGAAAAACTATAAAATGGGTAAGTAATAAATCTTCTCCCAAATATATATATATATAACCAATCAAAGTTTAAATATATAGAACTCATCATATATGTAGAACATGGATCAAAATAATGGTGGTGATCAATTTTTTTTTTTTTTTTTTTTTTTTTTGAAAGGTAAGCATAATTTTTGTTTTCTTCTATTTGGAACTCACACACCCAACTTTTTCTATTTCAAAAGCAATTAACTTTTCGAAAAAAAAATAAAAATAAAAATTAAGCAGCTTGAATTTGAAAATTATTGAAATTAATTAGGCAAGTATTTACTGAAAATTGGCCTTGGGAACAAAGAATTAATAACAGCACTTCATTTAGAAGGTTGCGTAGAAACAAGGAATGATATATATATATATATATACTGTGTGTATATATATATAGAGAGAGAGAGAGAGTATAATTACGAGCTTTGGCAGGCAAGGTTATCCAGTTGCCACCAGTGCCATGTTTGTGAAGGTAGTTCTTGAGAGTTGCATCTTCTTCAGGAGACCATGCACCTTTTTTCACTTTGGTCTTGTCACAGCAAGGAGCTCTTCCCATATTCAATGAGAGAGAGAGAGAGAGACAGAGATCTAGAGAGAGAGAATTCAAACACGCAAGAGATTTATCAAGTTATGAAAAATAGTCGTCTCTGGTCAGGGCTTAAAATAAAGTGAGTCTGTCTGTGTCTGTCCCCTCCAAGTTCTGCAAGTAATTAGTAATTAGCTTGACTTTGCATGACTCCACTGTTCTTTATTCACTTCTAGTTTAATCTTTTACCTTATTTCTTCTTGTTGGGTAGGATAAGAACGCGTGGTACACAGTCCACAAGTCACACAAAATTACCATATCACCCTGTATACACAGTATACTTGGACACCACATATACACACCATCCACACTACTTGTACACCAGCAACACCACACATACACCATACACACTATATATATTTTGGCTTCGAGTTTTGTATGCCTATAATAAATATATAGGCCTATATGTATAGTTTCATACATATTCCAGTCTCAGGATAGAATTCACTTCGTAACATTAACGCACCAATGTTTACTTGGTTTGGTTCACATGTCAAACAATTTCAGTGATTAAAGTTTTGCTATTTACGGAAAAAAAATAAAATAAAATAATTATGTGAGAGGATCGCCTTTAATAAATAAATAAATATATATATATAAATTGTTGAGACAATAGTAGATTTTTTTTGTAATTTTAATGGAGGCGTTTTTGAAATTTTGTAAGTAAAGAATTAAAAAAAAAAAAAATCAAAAAACAAAACAAAACAAAACAAAAAAAACAAACATAATAGGTCTGTGCCTGATTCCACTTTAAACCAAAGTGTGAACTAAAAATTACATATGGTGAATTTTTTTACGGATCAGACTCTCCCTTGCCGAATTTGAGGTCTTTTGTCTCAATACAATAATCACGTAAATGTGCTGAATTAACGATTTAATGGTATTATAATATTATAATATATAATGTAATATATTACATGAGTGTTACATTTTCGATCAAATGTAACATTATTAAATGTAGAGAAAAACTTAAATGCTTCTGAAACAGTGATGACATAATATTACACACTAATTAAATACTGACACACAATTATAGGACTCACTAAAATAGATACATTCTAACTTATACGTTTGTATTTAATCAGTCCTAATACATGATACCATATTATCACTACTATATATATCACGAGCATTTTAAATTTTTCTTATACGGTACGTTGCACTAGGGCATTATTGATTTACCATGTATATTGGGGTCCTTTTCATAGAAGATGGAGCGAAACTTACCCGATCTCAACATACATGATTTTTTACATATAACTATTAAATAAGTGATTGATGAACAAAGACAGCCCAACTATAGAGACAGAATGGGAGTGAAATGAATTATATTCCCTACGATTCTGTCTCCTCTTTATTGTTACAAGTCCTTATAAATCTCAATCATTTGTGATATTCTTTTCCCGCCATTTTGTCATCAAGTTTATGGGTCAATGCATCATGACTACATGAGTGATCGACCTTCCAATAAAAGGTACAAGTAGAAAAAACATTTTTAAAATATATTTCACATAACATTTTTAATTGTTATTTAAAAAAGTAAACAAAAAACACTCTTAATTTTTTTTTATATTATGCAAAAATATCCCTTCTAACATAAATTAGTATTGTAATATCCGTTTTGCCCTTTTATTCTTTCAAAAATACTCAAGGGGTATATATGCTATTAATCTCATAGAATAAGGTTGTTACGTGCACATTACCTTATATATATATTTTTGAAACTTTTTTCTCTATATATATTCTAAACATTTTTTAAAAAAACTTTGAGAATTTGTATAACAGGGATTTGAATTTTTTGAGATTTCAGTTTATTCTTTTCTACTAAATTTTTTTTTCTTTATTTTAAATTTTTTTTATACCAACACTGTTAAACAATATATATATATATATATATATATATATATATATATATATATATATATTTCATAATATCAGTGTGCACTAATTTTCGGAGTTTAGTGCAGATTTGTTTTCTTTAATTTACACTTTATTTTCATTTTTTATTTTTTATTTTTATCTTTACTTTTCTTTTATACTTTTATTTTTATTTTATATTTTTATCTTTACTTGTCCATTGCTGGCGTCCACCAATAGTGTTATTTTCAGTCATTTTATAAAATTATTTATTTTTATATACTTAATAAAATGGTGTAATTTAGTTAACCTATGTTTAAACTTATCAGAGGGACCTATTTGTACCAGATTGAAACTTTATGGATATTTTTTGCACGTGAGGGGTACCCTCCAATGGTGTCATTTTTGATCATTTTATAAAATTATTTATTTTTATATATTTTATAAAATGGTTTAGTAAGACTAATTTAGGATTTAAATTTGTCAGATAGACCTATTTGCACTAAATTGAAACTTTATGGGTGTTTTTTGTACGTAATGTGTGTGATATGCACTGTAAGCATAATTGAGGAGTGTTTTCTGCCCTTGACCGCTAAACAAAAAAAAAATTTAAAAATATATATATATATAGTAAGACTAAAGGTGTTCAAGAGCCAAGTTTGAAAGAAATTAATTTTGCCATTCATTTTTTTATAAATGAATTGATTTTGCCTAAGAAAAAAGTCTACGGAAACTAAATTGCTCTTTTTATAATTTTTTTAATTGCTTGAAATATGAAATTTGATAAACTTTGAGGGAAAAAATTAGAAAAAATTGCTGAATTAGTCCGACAATATCTCACAAACACCAACAAATACTGAAATAATGAATTTCAATTTTCAAGCACAAAATTTTGAAATAATTTGTGTTCAATCTGTGTTAGAATTCAATGGGAGAATTTGAAAATGAAAACCATAATTTGAACCATGGTTGCAAAATCTGGATATAGTATTTTTTAATAATTTTTTTTTCTACCATGGCTGCAAAAATTCAAGGTGACTAGTTGCGTTGCTTTAATTTTTCGGTCATCATGTGTATGAGAGTTAACAATTTTACACTCATCAATCTTGTGCCATTTTGACCATCAAAATCTAACATATGGTTTTACCCAAGCTCAAAAACGACTGGGCAAATGAAACGAAATGAGTTCAAGTTTCATCTTTATGGACTAAATGTCACCAATAATTATAGTTTATTATAGTTTAGAAGTAGTCGGAAGTATTGAGAGTTAAAGTTTTTATAAGGATAAAGTGGACGTGTGAATTTCTTGAAAAATAAAATAAAATAAAATAATAATGAACTAACTGAGTTCTAAAAAATAAGCTATTGATAAAGAAATGGGCTTCTTCACAAGCCCAGTTTTGTGGGCCCAACTATCTTGGATGCAACCGTTTTAGACCTGAACCCTCCTTGAGTGATAGGTCTCAAATTTCGCGAGAGAAAAATACCATATACATTAAGTTATTTATTTTAATCAAAGGATTTTAATAATATCTCATTTTTATAAATAATTTAGTACTTAATTTTGCCTAAATGGCAAACAATTGCATTGTTTAAACATCTATTGCCGTAAGGATCCAAATAAAGCTAAGTACACAACATTAGGTGCCATAAGATTTCAAATGAATCTAAGTACACAATTGGGTTATAATAAATATGTGTGTGTGTGTTCATCGATATCCCATGAATGGTTAATGTACATCTGTAAATCCGCCCATTGTTTCACCATTTGAGCTTGGCTTGGAAAGTACTGCAGAAAAGAAGAGTTTGACAAGGTGTTGGATACAAATTAAAACCAAATTATACAAATAAATGTGAAACAGTGAAAAGAAATATAGTTAAAAGTATAACCAAACCTTTTCAACGAGGGAGAGATAGTAAGGCTTGACTTTCTCCACATCAAGACTAACTTTGCTCTTGCTGTAGAGATCATATTTGCTGCATCAACATGTACAATGAACTCATATTATAATAAAGTCTTTTTTTTCTTTTTTTCTTTTTTTTTTTAACTAGAAGAAAATTATAATAATAAAATAAAGTCTTTTTTTTTTTTTTTAATTCTATAAGTAAGTAATAAATAAAGTGTTTTTTCAGTACATGATAATATTTATTGGATTCCAACCTTTGGACGTGTAAATTTACATGTGTGTGAGTTGGGATCCGTCAAATACAGTACAGTTCATTGAAAACAAATTTGAAATTAAAAAGTTAGATAGCGTTATTTAAAGCACTTTTCCTATGTTTATACATGCCTAAAACTTCTACCTCTACTTGCAAAGACAATTTATCAATTTTTGTTTAGCCAAAAGCAATTTTCACATTTGTACTCCCTAGGATGTCTATAAATTCTACCTCTACATGCGAATGCAAGTCAGCAATATTAGTTTAGCCTAAAGTATACTTGAAATTTTTTAGTGTTAAGGCAAAATTTTAGTTGAAAATTTGAACTTATTTTTTTTTCTTGAAGATCATGTATTGGCCTATAATATAAGTACTATTCAAGTTGGGAGTGTGGTTCGAAAGCGAAACCTCAAGAACTTACCTTTCAAATCCTTGCCAGCACCGCTATGCCCGTGGAAACGAAAATTTGAACTCACTTTAGCTTCTCTTTGTCCTCATCATTCATAAGGTAGCTGTAAATGCATAACTATAAAATAATAAATAAATATAACATTATTCTAAATCATCAATTACTCACATTGTTTTAAGAGTTATTTGAAGTGAAAAACAAAAACAAATATAGAAGATGCTGATTGCTTGCGCAGATTGAAGAAGATGCTCAATTTGGGGCTCATCAGGATCCGGATCGCTTCATCCACAAATTCATTCAATAATTCACAGCTTTCCCATATGCTCATTTCAGCCCTGTTGAGCTTTCCCATATGCTCATTTCAGCCCTGTTGAGCTTTCCCAAACCCCTCTTTCTTCTTCTTTGCCCGTACCATCATGAGGATATATCATTGATACATCAAATACAGCCAGTGTTGTTGATACCTTATGATCTGAAGTGAATTTTAATTTGTAACCATATAATTACTTAGTAGACGTATATAATTAGGACACTTACGAATTCA